CAGAATAAAAGCTATCCCTTTCTTATAGTATGCTGTGTTTCCGCAGGTTTGCTAAAACCCTTTCTGTTTAAGTCAGTGCATTAGGTTTTCTGTTGGGATAGGGTCTCTGCAGTTCCTTCATCCTGTCAAAATCTTCCTACCAAGATGGTGTTCCACTGGTCTAGCTCAGCACTAGTAGGAGAGAACAAACAGCTTTACTGTTCATCTGTCTACTTTGATTTAGTACCATGTTTGACAGAATATTATTGACAGAAAACATGGATATCACAAATCTAAAAAGAAGAAAAAATGTAATAGTTCAATTCCCAATGTGTAATATATATATTACATATATTACATATTTATATATGTAAAAATAAGTCTCTGTACTGTCATTTCACTTGGCTCTTATAGTTTAAAGGATGAGCTATAGGATCTGTGTGTTTCTGTACTGATGTGCTATTAAATACTTTTGTACCATGAAAAATAAATAAAGAAGTGAAAATGAGGAGAGATTGAGGGACTAATGAAGGGAACAAATAGTTGCCAGGAACTTATTTCAGACACTACTGCAACTACTAGGTACTTTACATGCATTAACTTACAGTAACTCTTAGAAATTAGTATTCCTGCTTGACAGATGGGGAAACCAAGGCCTAGAAAGGTTAAGAAGTTTATTACTACAAGATAATAGTAAGCTGTAAAACCAGATTCCAACTTAGAACTGGCAAAAACACCAGAATTTGATCTCCAACTATAAGATATTACCTCTCAGTGAAATATTGAGGAGCTGAGATCAGGCATGGGATAAGAATGGAGGGAGAGTACTTAATTCCTGTTTGCTCATCTTTTATTAATATTAGAGAAAAATGAAAATCCTCACCATTAGTTCTCATTCTCTGTTTTTCTTTTCTCCAGAGTTGTGTTTTTCTATATTAGGCATGATTTGAAAAGTATTTTAGCTGCTAGGGCACCTGAGTGGCTCAGTTGGTTAAGTGTCTGACTTTGCCTCAGATTGTTATCTCAGGGTCCTGGGATCGAGCCCCATGTCAGGCTGCTCCCCACTCAGCAGGGAGTCTGCTTGTTCCTCTACCCCCCTTCCTTGCTCTCTCTCTCTCTCTCAAATAAGTAAATAAAATCTTTTAAAAAATATTTTAGCCACTAAAATACACTAAATATTTACCATATAAGATAATACAAAATTGTATATTCCTGATTGAAAATTACATACACAAAGAAAATGTTTTCAGTCCTAGTTCTTTGGACAATGTATCTCACCTTGAGTTTTGTTGTCATAACAATATATTCACAGTTGATAGAAAAATGAAGCAATAGATTGAGGAGGTAAAGTAACCAGTATTTATAACCATTATATCATCATAGTAGCCCATTGAAATAGGAATTACCATGTATGGCTTACAGATGAGACTCATTAAACTCATTAAAGTAACTCATTCATGATCACATATTAGAGCAAGGTCAGGGTAGCATTGGATTTGAACCTACATTTACCCCCAACTGTATAATCTTTCCAGTATACCATGTTACGCCTCACTGGCCCACAGCTGAAAGTCCTAATATTAAAAATGATCTGTGTGGTTAAATATGTTGACTCTTCAACACTTAAAAGTACAGGAGCAATGAAGGAGGCCAATAACAATTAGCATTTATCAATAGGGGTTTTGAGAATTTCTAATGATAAGAGATAATAAGCAAGAGTTACTTTATGCACATCTGCTTAATGTTTTTAAAAATGTAACCTGGAGACTGATCTGAAGCTCAAATGAATTGCATAAATAGTTGTCAATATGCACTGCATCTGGTGAGAATGTAACAGCGTCTGGGTTTAAAGTGTCATTCTTTTACCCCCAGAAATAGATGGCCTAACAAAAGATAGATCAAGAAGTTACTAGTTTTTTGTTTGTTTAATTCTAGAGGCAGTATAATAGGCCATTTTTATTTGTCGAATTGTTGGTAGAGTGAATTTGAGTATTTCTGCATGTCTGTCTCATCTACTAGATTTTCAGCTGACAGCAAACACACATTATAACATATTGATATCCTCAGTGTTAAGCATTGTGCCAATAGTGGTGTCCAATAAATGTGTGAAGAAGAAAAGGAAGCAGAAATTATTTCTTTTTAATTTCACTCATCAATTGGTGACAAATTTATTCTGGGATCAGGACTCCAAATTAGGCCAATTTTATAGAGTAATCCAAAATATCTTTGAAGAAATGTTATTTTGATTTCTAATTTTTTTATTTCCTAGATGACACAATCTATTTTTATTTTAATAATTTTTTCTTTCCTAATTTTTCATTTTAGTAACTTTTTAAGATCTCTTTTCAATTTCTTTTTAACTCCCATTAACTGCATCTACCAGCATGAGTTATAGTACATTAAGAGACATATCAAATATAACTAACCTAAAATAAAAACATAAAAATATACATATATAACTAACCAATATCCTATAATTAATTTTATATGTGGGTCAGTGTTTTGTCTAAAATAAATGTATATGTCATGCCAACTTTGCTCTTGAGGATATTGCTATCTAGATGGAGTGTCAAACTATAAACAACTAAAAGATCCAATAACAGTTTAAGTCAGCAACAGCAGTAACAAGCTACCATGGTGATTATTTTCCAAGTGACTAAGAACTAAACATGTCCAAAGAAGGTGAAATGACCCCCTTTTGAGTTTAGAGTTAATAAACCTTAAATAATTTAGACTAAACCTAGAATTATTAGTAGAACTAAAAGAGACAAAGAAGAGAAGTAGAACATTCCACATGAATTTAAAAATTTGAAGAAGATACAGGGTGTGCTGGGAAGATAGCACACCTGTATACTTGGATTACAAGGGTCATGAGTAGTATGAAATAAACTGGCAAAGTAGACTAGGAAAGTATACTGAAAATCCTAATGAGAAAGTAGAGTTTAATATTGCTTTTGTATCTTACCATTCCTATCAGTATTTTTTAACATATATGACAGGTAATTATAAAGGGAATGATTTTAGAAGCCAGGCACGAAAGTCAGTATTAATATTTGAAGCTTACCATGGTAAGATTTTTTGCTTGACAACTCCGAGGCTTGAAGTTGAATCACAGAGTGTGTTCAAAGGCCTACAAATTCTATGTCAGAGTAAGGCTCCTTAAAGACCAGACTATATTGCCTAGAAGACCAATGGGCTACTGAAAACAAAATTCCCATTTAGAGACCAGTAGAAGGCAAAACACATTATGAATGCAATAAATGCTTCCAACTCATTTTTTAATCTGCTGGAGTGGAATGAGAGAATTGTATGCTGCCTGAAGTCAGAAATATCTGACTTTGGAAGTGGTTACCATACCTTATTAACTGTTTGACCTTGGGTGAATTTTTTTAACCTCTCTGAATCAAAGTTTCCTGATTCATACAGTTAAATATATTTATTTTCAGGGTCAATGTTACAGGGATTAATTGATAATGTAGTTCAGTGCCTAAGATTAGAATTTAATAAATGAGAGTTCTTTTTCTCTTGCTCCTTCTCCTGCCTTCTAAACTGGTTAGGTTTTGGGCATCTGTTGTCCCTTTAGACCCACTATTACAGTATTCATGTGCAATTACCTTCAGTACATCTTCTTTCCTTTCTTGTGCTGTCATATCCTGTGGCACTGACTTTAGATTTCCTCTACCACACTGTAAAATCCTAAAAAAAGTGTAAGACATAGATGCTCCTATATCCCTAATAACCTCTAGGACTAAGAAAGGACTAAATAGTATGAGGTGAACGAATCAATGATCAAAGTCCTCACTATCACAAAGTAAAATGTTACTGGTTTATGCCAAAAAAAAGTTGCTAAAGAGAAACAATTCATTCAGTTCAATATTTTCTCATAGTTACTGTTCTAGTTGTTTCAAACAGAGTATTTGTAGACAGTCACTTGTTTTTAAATATTTTTATTTTAAAAATTACTCAATAAAGACACTACTCTGTATCTGACAGATTTTAAACAATTACATTATCTCTTTCTTGATTAAGTAATTTTCCTCTTGTAAGTTTGAAAATATTTTAAAAAGTTTTTGGGGGCACCTGGGTGGCCCAGATGGTTAAATGTCTGCCTTCAGTTCGGGTCATGATCCTGGGGTCCTGGGATCCAGCCACACGTTGGGCTCCCTGCTCAGCGGAGAGCCTGCTTCTCCCTCTCCCTCTGCCTGCCACTCCCCCTGCTTGTGCGCTCTCTGTCTCTCTCTCTCTGCCAAATAAATAAATAAAATCTTTTTAAAAAATAAAAATAGGGTGCCTGGGTGGCTCAGTTGGTTAAGCGACTGCCTTTGGCTCAGGTCATGATCCTGGAGTCCCTGGATCGAGTCCCGCATCGGGCTCCCTGCTCAGCGGGGAGTCTGCTTCTCCCTCTGACCCTCCTCCCTCTCATGCTCTCTGTCTCTCATTCTCTCTCTCGCAAATAAATAAAATCTTAAAAAAATAAAAATAAATAAAAATTAAAAATAAAAATAAATAAAAAGTTTTTGGAGAATGCTAGTAAATATAGAAAAATTTTACACCAAGTGAAATTTGAATTTACAAATTATTTTTCCTATGCCATTCAGGTTCTTTTAGGAAAAACAAAAATAAAAAAGCAAAGCAGTTATTCAGTAAATAGACATGTTGTATTTTTCAGTTTGTGCTAACGCTGCCCCAATACCTGGAAAAAATTATGTCTCAAAGTACCTGATTTCCTACTGAACAAGGTCTGATATCTTGAGGATACTGTAGCCACAGCATAAACTGGGTAAAACAGTAAGATATACTTGATCTAGCTTACAAAGTGTTTTAAATCGTCAAAATATTGTCATTGCTCTATCTTTTTACATAGAGTTCTGTGTGAAATGCAATGTGCTTCTTCCAAATACCTACAATTATGAGAATTGATCATTTTCTTTTAATGCAAGGAATACTTCCATATGAATTTTGAATTTGGTAATGTGTTTGAAAAATGAAATCACCTTTCTTTAATGCTTAAACTCTTATAGCTTATCCACACTGGGTGGAAAAACTGAATGACACTCAGCTGGACAGTGGGAGCCCTCTCCGATGGGAATGTAAGGCTACTGGAAAACCCCGACCCACATACCGTTGGCTGAAGAATGGGGTGCCTCTTTTGCCTCAGGTACTATTGGTAACTGCTAACCTTTTCTTGTGTAATTTTAACAGGATTTCACACAGGACAAACTATCCTCCTTTTGTCTTATGGAAAGTCATTTCTTATTACACCTTCTAATGTATTTGAAGTGAGAACTATAATAGACATAAAATAAAATTCTTTTTAATTACCTCATTACTTTTTTGAGTAATACATTGTTTCTTTAAATTTTATTCAATCCTATAAATTCATAGGAAAATATCAATCATTATCAGATTCATGGCTATTTCTAACTGACTTTTAGATATCATCTAGTTTGTTGCTGTCACCTTGCAGATGGTGGAATTAAAGCCCAGGAAGTAAAGTGACTTGCCGAAGGTCACGTATCTAGTGAGAGATGAGACCATAATAGAATCCTAGCCTTCTATATCTTGGACAGGTTATTTCAATGACATCCTACTTAATAGGATTTAAAAGACTTAAATATCTTTTTAGTAAACCTATTGCATGTTTTTGAAATCAATTACTATTTAATTTTAGAATAATGGTAATAATTTTAGCTAACTCCCTTGTTGTGGCCTTTGCAGGAAGGAGGGCAAAGGGAGAATAGTTCAGTATGTATGGTCAAAATGGAGGGGTGGTATATAAAGTTGAAATTCTAAACATAAGTTCTGCCCAGGTCCTGCCACTACCAAGAGGCCTCTTGTCTGTCATTTACCTCTTTGGACTTCAATTTGCTCCTTTGTAAAATGAAGAGATTGGATAAGATCATCCCCACAGTCCCATCCAGCTCCAACATTCCATTATTCTAAAACTGGTTAGGCCCAAACAAAACACAATTACACAAAAGAAATACACAAATACAAAGAACTATAGAGCCATTAAATAAAACAGAGTATGAGAATCCTGAGACATTGGTTCATTGTCTCTTTCTCTAATTTTCTAGGGATACCAGATAAACCTTGAGAAAGGAATACACTGGTCATATTTTCTACTTTCAGCATCCAAGTAAAGTAAATCCCACTAGCAGATAATACTTCTGCAAAGTGAATAGTTTATTTTGAAAATTATGTAAAATTACTTGGCATCTCTGTTGATAGGTAAAGCACTGCTCACTAAAATTAAAAGAATGATTTGCTTGGCATTAAGTAGACAAGACACCTGGTTTGCTTAACAACATTTTAAATTTCAAATTCAATTTTGAAATGTGCTCTTGGCCTTACTTGACCTCAATTTGCACATGCTCAGTTTTGTGTTTTGTGTTTTTTTTTTTTTAGATTTTATTTATTTATTTGAGAGAGAGAGAGTGAGAGAGAGCACAGAGTGGGGTGAGGGTCAGAGGGAGAAGCAAATTCCCCACTGAGCAGGGAGCCCGATTAGGGCTCGATTCCAGGACTCCGGGATCATGGCCTGAGCCAAAGGCAGCCACTTAACCAACTAAGCCACCCAAGTGCCCTAAGTTTTCTGACTTCTGTATTAAATTTTGTCTCATAATGAAGTTAATATTTTTTGACCAATAATTTTATACAGACTCCAGTTGCAGGGCAGTTTTTTTTCTGAATTTGTTGGGAAGTGAGAAAAAGGTAAATTCCTAATTAGATTAATATTGTAAAGGGATTCTTGTTTTGACTTGGGCTATTTTTAACTTTGTCCCACTTGTCTACAGTCACAATTGTTACCAAAGGTCACATGTGAACCTCTTCTTCTTCTGTAAAATGAATTCAAATAAAAGCTTCATCTGCTGATTATACTTCACAAGCTGAGCTAGTATACCAAACAAAAGCTGCTCAGTATAAACACAAAACTGAAACTAAAACTCATAAGGATAACTACAGGAAAATACAGTTATAATATCTTTTCTGACCAAGAAATAGCTATAATTTACAAAAGACATTTTATAATGAGCAGTAAATTTGCAATGCTAAGTTGTTAAATAATGCTCAACTGCATTCATTGGAGGCTTTTTTTCCCTTGGTCTAGGAGAGAATAACTGCAAAATCTGTATGATTTTTTCACTTTCTTTATTTTTTTATTTTATTACAGAATAGGATTGAGATGGTTAATGGATTATTGATGATCCACAATGTGAATCAGTCAGATGCTGGAATGTATCAGTGTTTGGCCGAAAATAAATATGGAGTCATTTATGCGAGTGCTGAGCTGAAGATTCTAGGTATGCAATTTCTAAGTAAATAAATAGGAAAAATGTGTAGCTTCTTTTCATGCTCTAATTCTTACTATACTGAAGTTTTATGATGTGATTGTAAAAACCTATTTTATGACTTGAAAAGAAATGTTTAATATTTACCCATACAGCTCTTACCTAATGGTAGGCAAGACAATACTCCAAGGTAAAGCACCCTCTCATCATGGGATATCAACCATTATCACCCTTACATGAAAGGGAAGGCCTTTTTGAGGCTGTCCAGCTGTCTCAGAGGGTTACACCTTGATAGGACACTAGCACTTCACTGGTTAAGTACTACAACCAGTGAGTCCATCCAGTGGAATAGGCTCCCCAAATTGAGCATGTTTGGGCCACTGAAAGGATTTTACTTTTTAGCATTCTAGTTTCCTAAATTTTGGTCTGGGAAATTTGTAATACAAAGAGAGAGACTTAAGTGATCACAACTCACTGTCTCCCAAAGTGAACAGGAGCCCACTGCTTGTTCTGCACTAAAATTCTCAAAGCACAATATTAACAGAAATACCCAAGATCTCAGGAATCTGGGAACTTACCATTTACATATCAGCTAAATGTAACACATCATAAATCAACTTATTGAATTATGAATGTTTGTACTTGAAATTTCTCCACATTATAATAAACCCACCTAAAATAGATAAAGGACTCCAAATTTCCATCTCCTACAGCCTAACCAATCAAATATGAATGTACTTTCTTGTTAACTTACACCCCAATATTTCTGAGTTTAAAAGCCAATTCAGGGGCGACTGGGTGGCTCAGTAGGTTAAGCATCTGAGATCTGAGCATCAGTTCAGGTCATGATCTCAGGGTCCTGGGATCAAGCCCCTTGTCAGACTCCCCACTCAATGCGGAATCTGTTTGTCCCTCTTCCTTCCCCGACTTGTGCTCTTTCTCTCTCTTTCTCAAATAAATAAATGAATAAAATCTTAAAAAAGAAAACTAATTCAGCCTTCACCTAGTTAATAGTTTATCCAGAAATACTCTCAAATATGTCCTTTCTTATTCACTACACATATTTTCAAAATTACCTCTAATAAGTTCTGTTCCTAGTAACCAAAATCATTACCTGCAGTCACATAAAGTTCCTTCACTTTTCTTTCAATTCTTAACCCATCTCAATTATATACATATCTTTCTCATTATATACATACCTTTTAATGCTGTTGTGCCATGCACTATACTGTTGTATAATGGACATAAAATACTTATGAACTATCCATGAAGTTGTCAGATTGGTTTAAATAAATGCCTCAGATACAGTACACTTTTAAACGTATCTTTCAGGTTCTCTTTTAGATTGAAAAGTGTCTTTGTGTGTGTGTGTGTGTGTGTGTTTTTCTCTGTGTCACATGTTCTTTTAGTCCAGTATCCTGAACCCACAGCTGCCCACCAGAATTACTTGGAGAACTTCAATCAAAAGTATCTTTGTGAAAATCTAGTGTAAACAATATTAATATTAATGAGTGATCAGACCTAATTGAATAATTGCAAACAATGAAGTGAAATTTTTAATTGAAATTTAAATAATTCAATTTTTAAATGTATTTTTTAAACTACATTTAATTTTGTATAATATTAAAGTAAAATATGCATTAAGACTCACAGATAGGAAATGGATGACACAAGATTACCTTCTCTACAGGTAACCCCCATTTTTCCAAAGAAAGCCCCAGATAGACTTTCTTGGGCAACCCCTTCACCTTTTGCTCAAGGTGTTCATTAGTCTTTCACAATTAAAAGTGATAATCATAATTAAATCATGTCAATTTTTTGAAACCGTCTTTGTCTGTGAGCCCCACATTATATGAAACCATTACCTGCAAACAGAAAGAGCATCCAATAAGATATTAATTAAGTATAGGTTTAAATTTTGAGGTAGTGCCTTTTACTTGTGTAGATATCCTGTGATTTTATTAGAAATGTGTCCTAAAGAGTTGCAAAATCTTGATGAATGATCCATTAGAGGTTATTGCCATTGCTTCTGGTAGAATTAATATTTTCTTTTTCATAGCTTCAGCTCCTACTTTTGCACTGAATCAACTGAAGAAAACAATAATTGTTACCAAAGGCCAAGAAGTCATCATCGAGTGCAAACCCCAAGGCTCTCCAAAACCAACCATCTCTTGGAAGAAGGGAGATAAAGCAGTGAGAGAGAATAAAAGGTTAGAGGTCTATTTCATAATTCAAACTCTTAACATCAAACTTTTTTGAAGTTGCAGGTGGTACAGAGTATACAAGAAAGAGTTTTTCAGTAATTTGAACCATATTTCATGAACAGATTAAAATATGATTTTGTCTACATAGTGATTGAAAAGCACCCAAAGTTCTATTTCACTATGGTCAGACTTCTTTGCCTACATGGTGTTTCAGCACCAATGGGAATTTCACCAGGTTATAAAGAAAGCAAACACGTTCATTAAGCTAGTTACTTTGGTTTCACTTTAAGTCTGCAGATTTGGAGATTCACAAGTTATCTATAATAATTTTTAGAGGTTGTGTCATTATTTTAAGGTTAATATTTTTAAATGATATAAGGATGGATCTTTTGGATAATCACTTATGGCAGAGTACTTTCAAGTGAGATTTGTGTCTAGGTTTGCCCTCTTTTTTTCAATCTTGTTGAGGTAAAATAATATAGGATACTTCAGTTGCCACAGGCAAATGAGAAATGTACAGAGGAATATTTATTATGTAAATATTTGGTTTTGGTAAGCAAAACCAAAGGACATCACAAGAGTACAAATGGAGAAAAATTATGAGAGAATCAAATCATGATAGGACTATGTATGCCAAGATCAAAAGCCTGTTCTCTACTAATCATTAACATACTGGTGTTGCAAATGGTGATTCAGATTTGACAAAATAATATCCTCTATTATGTTGAAATAAGGTTGCATAGGTCATTTAAGTTTTGTTTTTCATTTGACCTATAAGGATAAAGAGTTTATGCCTTATTTTATGTCTGCCTGGATCTAAGTAATCATATAGTAAAAGTTAATTTATGTCAGTATTAGGGGTCCATTTGAATAATTCTTTAGGTAATTTTGGAATATTTTGGTGAAATATTTGAAAATTTTCTTTAGAAATTTGTTTTTTCCCATCCTAATCTGAAAAACACTGATTTAAATTGCCTTCTCAGATGAGATTTACAGACTGATTGGGTTTAGTTCAGGCACAAGGATGGATGATGCCTGGAAAGGGTGATATCTGGGATTGAAAAGGGTTATACTGGGTATCTAGTTTTGAAAGATAATTTATCTTTGTTACTTGAGGCAGGAAGCAGGGCAAAATCACAAACTGTGAGATCAATGTTACATATGGTTGAATTGCATTTGGTTGAATTGCTTATAGTGGAGTTGATTTTTTTTTGGTATTGTTGCTCATAGAAATTAAAAAAAAAAAAAACCTGCCACAACACTTATTAAAGCAGAAGAAAATATTTTTTGTATAATATGATAAATAATTTAAATTGTTTGATTATCATTTTATCTGAATGAACTGAAAAATTTTATATCATCAAAATGTATTCGTCCTATTGGTGTAAGCCACTGCATCTGAAATGCATTACTTTGTGTCGTTTGTAGGTGGCATGTGAGTCTTGTCCTGTTTATTTCAGTTCACCATAGAATGTTTCTCAGCAAGTATTCAGACATCACATGATGAGTCTTTTTTTTTTTTTTTTTTTTTTTGAGAGAGAGAGAATGAGACAGAGAGACAGAGAGCATGAGAGGGAGGAGGGTCAGAGGGAGAAGCAGGCTCCCTGCAAGCAGGGAGCCCGATGTGGGACTCGATCCCGGGACGCCAGGATCATGACCTGAGCCGAAGGCAGTCGCTTAACCGACTGAGCCACCCAGGCGCCGCATCACATGATGAGTCTTAAAAATTAGGTGGCATCTCATTTGTAAAGGCAAATGTATTGAGAGAGGAACAGGATTATGAATTTTCTGTTACAACAAATATAAAGATACTAAACTTTTTTTTTTCCATAAGTTGAAAAACAGTTTGTAAATTTTCCAGTTTTGTTGATTCCTTTTCTCCTCACTTCTATCCCCTCAGGCTAGTGGGACAAATACACTGGTTTCAAATTCAGATCACTCAATTTTCCAAATGTCAAATACTTCTGGTCAAAGTGCCATTCAGGAAGGAGGCTAAAATGTGAAATATTTGTATTTTTATTTATTCAAGTAAAAGCAAGACTGGTCCACATTTAATCAGCATTTTGCCTACTCTGATCTGTATGTTTATGTTTATAAACTGCTTTAGTTTAGTAACTCCAGAAGCATTTTTATATTTAAAATCGGCAGGCACACTTGCAAAATATTGTTTTTACTAATGTACAATTTGTTACTTTATTGTGTAGTCCCAGGTTTCATGAAGAATACAATCTATTTAGATATAAAAATATTAAACACTCAAGTATTAAAATAAGAGGATAAGATGTAAATAGCAATAGAAAGAATTCCATAAAGCATTGTAAGAAGACATATGTAGATATTTGAAAAACTGTGCATTCTAAAAATATGAATGGAAACTTTAAAATTTCAAATGTACACATTATACATTCTTTAAAATAGAATACCAGTTACATATGACACCTTATTTTCTTATAGAAATTTTAGTTTACCTCTCTCTGTTATAAAGCATACCACCTAATAAGAGTTGTGAATATAAATTTAAGTGGAAAGGGAGGTATTAGAAAACTGTTAAGGTTTTGAAAAGTTTATGTCATGTATATTTCACATTAGGAATACAGATTCAAATCATGGTTTATTTTCTTGAAATACAAGTATATTTACTATTCATGTGATCTACATCAAAAGGTTCCCCACTCATCCAACCTATAATAATTGGAAAAAATGTTAAATGAATTAGTCTTGTCCTTCATTCACAATTTTCACAGTTATTTTGGATTCATTTCAAATTAAAGATTGAAAGAGCAAATGGCAATTTCCTATGTGGGCATATAGAGATGAGTATTATATTGGAGGAAAGGAGCAAAAATAATAATGTATTATAAAAGAAACATTCGAATGTGAAAAATACAGCATTTCAAAAGCGTAAAATTATGTCCAGTGCAATAGCATAAAAATGTAATGAAAGATGTTAATTGCAGAAAAATGTCATTTAATTATTTGAAAACATGTCAGAAACTCAAATTTAAAAAAAGAATTTAAACCTATGGTCAATTGCAATTTAACTCTAAACTGTAAATGCAATGTCATAACAACTGAAAATTAATAGTTAATCATTTGTTTCATCAACAAAATGCCAAAGGACATACTGACTTTTCTTTTTCTGCCAAATTTTGGTTGAATCTTTCAAATTTTGCTTTGTTTTGTTTGTTTTGGAAAGGGATCTTCTTTTTTTTTTTTCTTTTTTTGTATTTATCTGTTCTACTAAAGAAATACTTAAATCATTATCCAAAAATTTAAAATTCAGTAAATAATAACTAGAACACAATATAACTTTTAGAAGAAATCTGATTAACAAAGAAGTTGCCTACTGGGGCGCCTGGGTGGCTCAGTCCTTAAGCGGCTGCCTTTGCCTCAGGTCATGATCCCAGGGTCCTGGGATCCTGCTTCTCCCTCTCCCATTCCCCCTGGTTGTGTTCCTGCTCTCGCTATCTCTCTCTGTCAAATAAATAAAATCTTAAAAAAAAAAAAGATGCCTACTTATATATTACAAAATATTTCACTCATTTGGCCGTAAATGATACACCTAAAGTATATAAGAAAATAGGCTACAGGGGCACCTGGGTGGCTTGGTTGTTAAGCGTTTGCCTTTGGCTCAGGTCATGATCCCAGCGTTCTGGGATCGGGCCTCGCATCAGGCTCCCTGCTCGGCGGGGAGTCTGCTTCTCCCTCTCCCACTCCCCCTGCTTGTGTTCCCTCTCTCACTGTGTCTCTCTGTCAAATAAATAAATAAAATCTTAAAAAAAAAAAGAAAATAGGTTATATTAGAATTTGAGTTCTGTGTAGTTATTTCTTGTTTATATCACAGAATGTTCAATATGAACTGCTGCTCACACAGTAAAACATATTATTATTAATAATGATGACTGCTAATAATTCCATAGCAGTTATAATTTATGAAGCACTTTAACATTGTGGGTAACAGTATAACCCAATGTATAAAACAAGACTTAGTTGCACTGCTTATCCTGCAGACTATGAGGTTTCCTTATAAAATTAATTTATTTCCTTACTTACAAAGCTAGAATTCAAAAGAGTAACACATTGGGTTGTGAGAATTGGAAGAAATTTTGTAAAATACCCTGGCTAGTGTAATAAGTGCTCAATGAATGTTATTTGTGATGATGTTGATGCTGTTCATGCTGGTGGTAGTGATGGTGGTGATGATGATAGCATCATTTGAAATTTTGATTCTTTGAATACTGACATATATTTCTGTCTTTCTTTCTCCAGTAGTTAAGGGAACGGATTCTAAAGATTTAAGTTATTATCTGAGATTAAAGGAGTGATAAATATGTTATTCATTAATCTATGTCTCTAAATTGATATTCTTTGCCCATCAGAACTCCCCATCTACACTTCTCATCATTCAGGCATAGCCATTCTCATCAGCCTTACCTACTCCTAGTTCAGTATCTCTCAGATAGTTTCTGATAGCAGACTGAGCATTTACTTGTTCTGTAATCAGCATTATAGGCCAGGTACAAATAGGCGAATATATGTGGAGAGTTAATGGAAACAGAGAAACCTTTTAAAGAATGCTTTTACTCTTTCTCTTTTTCTTTTTTCTTTTCTTTTTCTTTTAAGGAAACTCCAGGTTTTGCCCCATCACTTTTAAAGATCACCAACACACATTCCTTTAGATTTCTTTATCAATCATATCTGTTTTCATAGTAAACTAATAAGCTCCAGGAGTACTAAGACGTGAAATATTCCATGGAGATTTTCTCCTCTAGTATACTTTCATTCAAAATGTTCTGCTCATCAAACTCATATTGGATTTTCACTTCAGCTCATTATTTGCATTACTTGGCCATTAACTTTTGTTAAAATATAGTCACCCAGAAGCACTCCAGCAGTGCACAAATATTAAGCCTTCATTATTACATGTTCAATTTCCTGTACTTTTTGTGGACAAAGACAATCTTGGCCAAAATGAAGAATATATACTTTTTGGTAAAGACACAGGT